GTGTGTGTGTGTGTGTGTGTGTGTGTGTGTGTGCAAGAGAATGCTGTATCTGAGATTTCCGAGTGAGAGAAATTTAGCGTGTCACGCTGCAGTCTCGTTAGCGAAAAAGGCACATTGACCCCGCAATCGTCATTTTCCCTCCCCACTGACTCTGCACTCATCGGAGAAGCAGCAAAAGAAAAAAAGAGAAAAAAGAAAGACGCAACATTCCAAACCATATTCGCTCCATGGAGAATTCCGGGGACCTTGCGGTACTGCCATGTTCCGTGTGCGCGAGCGCTGATAATAATTAGATATGAAGCGAAGAGAGCGAGAAATTCGGTAGTAACACACTACCAAATTCGTCGAGATACGTGCGCGGAAAATAATTAAGTCGGAATTCAGTGCATTTAATTGAAGGAACCGGTCTCTCTGACATCCTGTCCCCGATTCTCCCGGAGTTCGTGGAAACGCGTTTTCCTCTCAAGCAAGCAAACAAACAAAGGGAAGAGAAGAAATCATCGATCTCACGTATCGCGCGAATTTTATAACTTACGCAAATCTTATTCGTGTTGACAAGCAAACGCGATGCGACAATTATGTTTCCCGCTCGGTAGATGGATACGTTAAACCGAGGTGTCGTTTTTACAGCAAGCAGCTCTTGAGCTACTCTGATTGATTCGCAGCCGCAACAGTCGTTTCATAATCGCGTCAAATATTTGCATTTAAAACATCGCTTCTGAATCGCACTTCCTCTTAGTCAAATGATCGCGAAGAAAAATTGTACGTTGGATATGAGCTTCTGTATATACTCTCAGGAGAGATTGGTTCTGAAGCGATACAATTCTTCAAAGCGATTCTTTTTCGTCACATGAAACATTAGAGAGTCTGACTTTTTTCTTAATGATGTAACTTGGCTCTTGAAATCATAAATTGGAAATTAGTACGTAAACATTTTTCTAAAGCATAAAAGTAGAGACACGAGAAAGAAAGAGGTAATTGAAAAAAGTTGCGGAAACATCTCGAGAAATAGTTAGAAATAGAGTAATTGAGAACCGAGAAATTTTGTGGTTGTAATTTTTGAATGAAAGAACTTAAGGAAAAAACAAAGGAACTCTCCAGAACGACAAGTGCGCCATGAAAAAAACTCAAGAGTGCAAACTATCGCGACATCAAAAACGGAACATGGCATCTCGGGGTGAAAAACAAAAGTGCCAAAAAGAGTAGTAATGTCCCTCGTCATCATATTATATATATATATATCATTAGAAAAAATCGTCGCACGTGTCACCATTCGTTGCCATGACAATAAAGAGAATTTTATTGTTCTGTAAAATATTGTATAATATTAGGACGAGTGGAGAAAAAGATTTAGAGAGAAAGAGAGAGAGAGAAAATGTGTGTGTGTGTGTGTGTGTGTGTGTGTGTGTGTGTGTGTGTGTGTGTGTGTGTGTGTGTGTGTGTGTGTGTGT